TATGTTCAGTGTTAATTCAACCTCTTGAAGTGCCCTTAGATTTTTTTAATTTTTAGAGATGCGATTGTGTCAATGTGCGAGGAAACCTAAGCTGTCTATTACAAATAAAGGAAGCACGCACATATCTTTTTACTTTCTCACTTGTGCATGTGAGCCGCTCCTACACAAGCTCAGAATCTTTGGCACAAGCAAAGGTACCATGACACAAACTTTTGGAAGCACATTATATAAAAAGTAAAGATACTGCATGTGCTAGTGGCTATTCCATTGTCTCGTATCAAAATGAGGTAGTCTTCTTTGATTCTTTTGTTTACAGTGTTGGCACTCAAACATACAGGTATGTATTTTTGTTGTTGCATATTTGCTGTGCTTCTGCCGGTCCTCATTATTTATTTAAGATCGAAAACTGCGCAAAAAAGATGGGACACAAGAAAGGAACGAGCAACACAACACAGGTGCAGACTTACAACTGAATTTTTAATCTTTCACTTCCTTTAACGAAGGAATGCAATGTGCACGTGGGCCGCTGAGATGCGCTATCACTGGCTCGAATGGGCACGCTGAGGGCAGAAAACCTAAGGACGGTGGCAAGCGCAAGCGGGATAGGGATCGCGAGGAAACTGAGGACGATGGCGAGCGAGCGACTCGTCGAAGCCCTACAAGAAAGCCTGTGTGGTGTGAATGGTGGATTCGCCGTAGATATTGAGGAGCTGTTTTATTTGATACCCCATGATGAACTCTTTGTCGCGGTGAGGAACTGCATCGAAACCTCCGGAACGGTTCAGTTCCAGAATGCCTGTGGTGTGTCAGTAGATGGATTCTTAGAACTTTTGTCCGTTTATCTAACATCCACCAGTGTGGGCTTCGAAGTAAAGTTTGTAGTTCAGAGGCAAGGCATCTGCATAGGTTCGAGTGTGGCACCAGTGTTATGCGAAATCTTTTTGGCTGCATTTGACCGTTTGTTAGTGCAAGCACTCGCTGACGACAAACGGGTCCGAGTCTTCAGATATGTGGATGACTTTTAGTCCTTTTAATTAAAAGTTTACTCCTGGCGTTCTTCTTGAAGATGTCACCAACGGGATTTTAGAAACTTCGTGCCACCTCCACAACCTTAACATTTACAACCGAGCTTCCACTGCGGGAATCTTTGCAATTCCTTGACATAACATTGTCATTCCAGCTAGACCACCTCTGCTGGGAGTACGCACCCCGCTCAAAAAAAGCCCTCCTGCCTTTTGATTCAAGCCATTCCAAAATAGTTAAGAGAGGCATAGTGAGGACATGCCTGAGATCATCACTTGAGAAATCTTGTGCTCACACAGTTCAGAGTAGCTTTGATTCACAGGCCCAACGTTTGTTGAGAGCAGGATTTCCACCTTCCATCATAAGGGCGGTAGCAGAGTCTATGTTGAAGGCCTTGCGTATGCGGGCTAAGGAAACAATGGGTCACTTGGAGGGACCAAAAAAATTTGAGGTCATGCCCTATATACATGGGGTTTCTCACAATTTAAAAAGAGTCGCTACTAAGTTCCAAGTAGATCTGGTTTTTTCAGCCCCGTGTAAGCTCTCCCGGGTATGCGCCTTAACCTCAGAGGTGCTGGGCAGAGTATCTTTCAACTCTGCCTCCTCCGGCCCCTTGGGTACTGGGGGAGCGGCACGAGGGTTGCGCCGCTCTTTCGAAGAGGAGGTCCTCTCTGCGGAGGTCGGGCGGGAGTTTCGCCCCTTCTCCCCAAAAGAGGACCGCGATGTGCGACCAGGTACGGCATTTGCCGGCCTGTCTGGAACCAGCGAAGCAGCCTGTGCACTCCCTCCAGGAGGAGGGGGGCACTGCTGCCCTAGCTGGGGGTTTGGGGCCTTGAGGGCTGCCTCCAGAACCTCAGGTGAGACCTGGGTAGCCCTTGATTCCGAACGTGGCTCAAGACCCCTGCGCGCCACGTCGGCGTAGGATCCCTTCGACATAAAAGAATACCGTTTCTTAGCTTCGATATAACTGATGTTTTCTTTGACTTTGATAGCAATGATTTCTTTTTCTTGCTTCCAGATGGGACAGCCACGATAATAAGTGGGGTGTGGTTCATTGCAATTAATGCAGTGGGCAACATTCTCACAAATGTCAGAGACATGATCTTGTCTGCCACACTTCGCACATGCCTCCTTCCCTCGACAGCTGCGTGTTCCGTGGCCAAAACGCTGGCAACGGAAGCACCGCTGGGGGTTGGGGACATAAGGGCGGATGTGGCAGTTCAGGTATCCAGCCTTGATTGTTTCTGGTAGTGTATGCCTCTCAAAAGTAAGTATGACATGTTTTGAAGGCACTTCTTCACCATCTTTTCTAAACATAATGCGTTTTACTGCTACGACACCGCCACCTTGGAGTCCCTCGAGGAGTTCTTCCTCACTAGTGTGCAAGAAGTCGTCCTCGGAGAGGACTCCACGGATAGTGTTAAGTGTGCGGTGAGGGCTTACCGACACTTTCACTTCAAGGATGGTGTTCAGCTTGAGAAGTGCTTCGCTTTGCTTTTTGTTGTTTACTTCCACTAGGAGGTCTCCGGAGTGGAGTTTTTTAGCCTTGTAGGAAAACCCTACAAGGTGTTCAAGTACTTTGGCTAAAACAAATGGTGATAACTTTGACACGGGTTTCTGTTCATCAAGAGAATGAACAACGAAAAACTTCGTAAAACTTTCTATCTCAGATTCTTTTTCGATGGTCTTGTGTTCAGGACAGCGCCTTTTAAGGGCGTGCCCCGAACGGGGTTTGGAAGAGAGGGGCGCCATAAGAGGGCAAGGAGTGTTCGGAATCTGTGGCGCGCCGCCCACCACGGAGCCCAACGAGGGAATAGGTAACACCCCATAAAAAATATGGCTTTGCTGGAAGCATTACTCTATTAGCACTACCCAGAAACTATAACCAGGTGTGGATCCGGACGAGAGTATCTGTCACCACCCAAGGTTAGCCCCTGCCGCCAAAGGAGTTGAAAAAGGAAAGAAGAGAAATGAGGAGAGTGAAAAAGATCAGAAGATAAGGGTGAAGGAAGGGAGGGGATAGTAGAAGTGGCGACTGACTGAATCATCCTGGTCGGGCCAAGCCAGGACACCCGTCTACGGGAAGCGGGGGCCGAAGTGGTGTATTGCCTCGCCCGGGGGGCCCCAAAGGGTCCAAACCTACCCCGGGCTCGGCTCAACCACCAGGATGCCCTTTTCCCCGGACACGGGAAAGCCACGCACAGCCAGACGTGGGCGGGCGAACCCGCATGGCTCGGGGTCCGTGGAGACGCCACTCTCCAAACACCTGCTTTCACAGGTGCCCCCTGCGGGGCCTTGCTCAACGGGAGTGGTTTACCACATCCCGTTATCTTGCGGGAAAGTATATATCGGACAGACGGTTAGATGTCTAAATGATAGACTGAGGGAACACGGAGCCTTTTTGAATTCAGCAAGCGGAGCGCACCTTGCCCTACACTGTAAAGAATGTGGGTGTAAACCAAATTTTGGTGCCACTGAGATAAAAGGTCGCAACAAAGACAAACTCACTAGGGAAATTTCTGAGGCGGCCCAGATTTCCTACAGTGGAAGTGACAAGTGTGTTAGCGCACCATCTATTTCATTATTAGACAGAGAATTAGGTTTTTTGTTTACTTCCCAGTTCCATCGCTCTTCTCTCGCTCGCGCTCGCCATCGTCCTCAGTTTCCTCGCTATCCCGCACGCGTTCACCACCGTCCTTAGGTTTTCTGCCCTCAGCGTGCCCATTCGAGCCAGTGATAGCGCATCTCAGCGGCCCACATGTACATTGCATTCCTTCGTTAAAGGAAGTGAAAGATTAAAAATTCAGTTGTAAGTCTGCGCCTGTGTTGTGTTGCTCGCTCCTTTCAATTGTGTCCCGTCTTTTTTGCGGTTTTCCATCTTAACCATTTCAGTACCGTAATAATTTTTCATGTAACATCCTCAAAATCCTGAATTATTTTATTCATGCAACCTGTTCAGCCTAGTCCGTAGAGCACAATCATATAAATTTTTTTATCAAAAGCACAGCATAAATGGACAAACAATATTTTTATAAATGTTAAAAAGGGGGCTTCACTGCACGTATGGTGGAAAAAGTGGGCTTCACTGCACATACTCACTTTATTTTATTCATGAATTTACAAAGCAATTCTGTCAACATCAGCACCTAGTGTCTCTGTTCACGAGACTACGGGCTTAGTCAGTCTTAGGACATCCCGTTCAAAAGTTTGCCTTTGTGTGATATGTGCGAAAACACTCTATCGCACACAGGGCGACACCACAGTCTGGGCACCACGTCCTTGTTTCCTTGCGAGCTTTTTTTGTCTTGTGCAGACAAGGCATCTTCTTGTTGGGCTCTCTTTCTTCTCAGTTGGAGGTAGGTAGTCTGGGAAGTGTCGCTCAGTCAGTCGCGAGAGAGTGTTGTCAGAGAACCTCCCTTTCTTGGGTCGACTCTGGGGGTCACAGTTCAGTTGAATGAGTCCCTCCACTAACTTGAGCCTGAACTCAAGATGTGTGGTGGTGTTGCCACTCTTCTGGTAGATAATGAACGCATTGTAGATGGCCATGTCTATCAGATGACGGAACACCTTTTTGTAGTATATTTTCTGTCCATTTCTTGCACAGGGGTAATATGAAAGATTTTGGTCACTCTTGTCAACACCACCCATGGTGTTGTTTTAATTCATCACTATCTGTGGCTTGGACGCAACTTCACCTCTCTGGTTTGTTACATCCACCATTGCCACAGAGTGCACCGTGCTGAGGAAAGTTACCACCTTCTTGTCCTTCCACTGAAGTGAGAGGCACTTGCCTTTTTGGTAAGCTTCAGTTTGACCTTTCTCAAGTTGTCTTGTATCGAAGCTCGGCATTCCCTTGCGTCCAGATCGTGCTGTTCCGTAGACATCTGTCTTGCGCTCCAGAAGTGCTTCAACTAGTTCGGGTGAGTTGTAATAGTTATCCACGGTTACACAGTAGCCCTTATCAAGAAGGGGACTCATCAGGGACAATACCACACGTGTACCCATGGCCACATCTGCGTCACCAACAACAGCACCTTTCCCATGTACATAAGCATGTTCCAGATGTAACCACTGGAGGACTCGCACAGTACGAAAAACTTGACGCCAAAACGGGCACGTTTCAGTGGCATGTACTGTTTCCAAGACAGCCTGCCTTTGAAACGAAGAAGGCTCTCGTCAACTGACACATCTCGCTCTGGTGTGTAGAGAGTTTGAAACATCTCGGTCATTCTGGTGAGCACGGGCCACAGTTTTCTAAGCTTCGGGTTCGGGTGCCCGTCGACTGGCGCCTCGTTGTCAGTGAAGTGTAGAAATTTCATTATCAGCATGAAGCGGTCGCGGCTCATCACGTCTCCGAATGCAGGCGTGCGGAGAACCTCTCTTGTTGACCAGTAAGGTTTCACGTCTGGTTTCTCAATGACCCCTTGCAGAATGATGAGCGCGAAGAAGGTCATCAGTTCTTTTTTGTTGATCTGTCTCCATGTTTTGATGTGGGAAGCGTGGTGCGACCGAAGAAACTGGGTTGCGTAGCGGTTGGTCTCTGCGACAATCAGGTCGACCAGCTCTTCATCGAAGAACTGTTCAAAATATTCGACAGCGCCGTCACCTTCTTCCAGGTGGCCCTTGAATCCCGGTGATCCCACAAAAGGGAAACGAGGTGGCGCACGAGGAATATCGCCCACGTCGATCTTCGTCCACACACGTGCGGTGTCGAAATCATCATCAATCTCTGTGTCGCTCTCATCTGAAGTCAAATAATCAATCAACGACTCACCAGAATCACTTTCCAATTCGTAGTCGCTTTCACTCGAAGAAGTTTCAGAAACTGCGCGCTGTTTCCTTTTTTTTCCTTGTTTTGCAACGCGTGGACACACATCGTGCGGCCGTCCGGACGACGCCATTTTTAAAGTTCAGTGTAGCCAGCAGCCTCACGAAAAAACGTCTAAATTCAGCTAATTTCACCGGTTTTGACTTCTCCTGCCATCTGTCGGTCGTTCTAAGAAGCTCCGTGATACAGACGAGCTGAATTCGTCCTCAGGATCGTTGTATTGATAATGCGGACTCTGGACGAGCTGTACTCGTCTTCAGGATTATTTGTGCGTAAATGGTGGACGAGCTCAGCTCGTCTTCCGTACTGAAAGGGTTAAACATGTATAACCAACTAGGCCAACAGAGTACTCTACTCCTCATTATTTGCGTGGCACTTATCCCCTTTTGGTCCTTCTATATCTGTGTACTGTGGTATTACGCAATCAGAAAACAATGACTGTTTGGTTCACCCTTGAACCTACACGACAGCAGACTAGTACCTGGATGAATTGCGATGTGACCAGTGGAACTGGTAGTTTTTAAGACAAGTTGTGTCACCTGACATAAGCAGCATGAACTCCCAAGTGCGAGAGGTCATATTCTGTTGTTTGCGTTTCTGTTTATCCCGGTAATACAAATGTGCTCGCTGTTGGTGGTTCCATCGCGGCGCCACATGTTTTAAAACCAGCAGCGTGCTTTGGGCAGCTGTGAGTGGAAATCAGGGAGCATTTGTGGTAGAGCCATATCGATATGATATGGCTCTACCACGTAAATGGTGGACGAGCTCATATGCTCGTGACCATGGGGTCTGGCATCTTTAATGCCTTTGCGTTTTAAGTCAGGTTACATGTCTTCCTTGACAGTACCGTTTTATTTCACGTTTTCCTCTTCAATGTGTCCAGAGTGTTCCACTGTAGTTGCCTTCACATGTGCTTTCTTCTCTTCTAAGCAGTTTGTTCCAATTTAGAATGTACACCGACTGCTTTTAGTCTTACTCCAGTAAATAAATATTTACTAGAATGATCTAATCAAAACTGGAGGAGGGTGACCAATTGTAAACTTTTCCTTTTTAGCGAGTGATCTCACTGGGACCAGCTCCTCGGAGCAAGGTAAGCCACATTTTCGTATTCTTGTAGAAGTCATACTTTGCTTATTGCTTGGTTGCATTGAAGTCCAAATCAGCAAATGATAAAAGTCGCAATGTTTCAGTTGAGAGGTCTTCGGGCTGGGCAGCAGCTCTCAAAGTGATTACTTCGAAACTCCTTGGTCGAGCAGATCATTCTTTGGTTCCATCAGCACCCACATCGATCACCCTTTCACCCTAACGTTTTAAGATTGAGAAAGACCAATTTCGTAGCTCATTCTAATATCTGTACTTTTTCAGTTCTGCTATCACTGCAATAGAGCTCACGCAGGTTGGTTTTTAAACTCTTCTATTCTTACTGGTATAATGCCCGGTGGTCAGCATTATGGTTCACGGAGACAGGGGAGTTCGCAAACCCTAGCAACAAACTTTGTTGCTGGTTGCTAGGGCTTGTGAGATGACAAATTGTGAGAGCCTCTGGTCTGGGGGTTACTAGCAACTTGCCAAAATATCCCCCTCCTCTTTTCCCCGATCTTTAAGTGGCAACAACTTTAGGTAAAATTGTAGCCAGCTTGCATTGTACTTGGAGTAGAAGAGCTGAAAAGTCAGCCTGGAAGAAGTCTATTGCAGTGGTAGAATGAAGAAAACAGTAAGCATATTACTCCAAAGGTGAACATATTTGACAGAATTCTGTCTGGTTGGGTAGAAAATCAGGAAAAAAGGAATTTGCCAACGAAATGTGGAAAAGATCTGGAAAAAGATAGTCCCAACATTTCGAAACTATTTGTTTCTTCTTCAGGGGATGAATAAAGGATGTCAGCCTCTTCATCTTTTAGGTGTTACATCACTTTGTCTTTGTCGGTGTTGTTGGGTTAGCTTCGTCGTGCCCTATCCGTTATCCCATTGTGGAGGCCGTTCACATATAACGTAGGAAGTGTCCCTAGTGACCTATTGATGATGTTTCAAGTGTGTTGAATATGCCATGATTCAATGAGCCGCCTCCTACGTAGATTTGGTGCCGTGTCCAGGATGCTTGCGTTCTCAAATGGAATACGGTGGTCGAGGTTATCACAGTGTTCAGCAAAAGCACTGCGCTCTTTGTCAAAGTTTCTCACATCGTTCTTATGTTGGCGAAGCTGGTCGTGAAAGTTCTTTGTTTCGCCGATGTAAGAGGCAGGGCACTGGGAGCATGGGATCTTATAAATGACACCTTAATTGGGCCTTCGCCTTCGCTGGTCTGTTCTTAGGGCGAGGTAGAAAGCATCCGACAGCCGACACTGGTTTGTGAGCAACCAGGACGTGTTCTTTTGCAAACAGTCGGGATAGCATTTCGCTTATCCCTTTCTTGTAAGGGATGCTAATCCGTGTTATCGGTTTGGAAACTGTCGAAGGTTGTTTCATCCGATCACGCTTCTGACGACAGATTACGTGGTGAATGAAGTTACCGGGGGAGCCGTTCTTCCTTAGGTCGTCCATCATAATCCGTTCCTCCTTTCTTTTGTCGTCCTCAGATGAGCACAAGGTGTTGGTTCTGTTAAAAAGAGTAGAAACGACTGATACCTTATGGCCGACGGTGGTTGGAGTCGAACTGGAGGTAATGGTTGGAGGACTCCAACCACCCTGTCGGCCATAAGGTATCTGTCGTTTCTACTCTTTTTAACAGAACCAACACATTGTGCTCATCTGAGGACGACAAAAGAAAGGAGGAACGGATTAGAATGGACGACCTAAGAAAGAACGGCTCCCCCGGTAACTTCATTCACCACGTCATCCGTCGTCAGAACCGTAATTGGATGAAACAACCTTCGACAGTTTCCAAACCGATAGCACGGATTAGCATCCCTTACATGAAAGGGATAAGCGAGATGCTATCCCGACTGTTTGCAAAAGAACACGTCCTGGTTGCTCACAAACCAGTGTCGGCTGTCGGATGCTTTCTACCTCGCCCTAAGAACAGACCACCGAAGGCGAAGGCCCAATTAAGGTGTCATTTATAAGATCCCATGCTCCCAGTGCCCTGCCTCTTACATCGGCGAAACAAAGAACTTTCACGACCAGCTTCGCCAACATAAGAACGATGTGAGAAACTTTGACAAAGAGCGCAGTGCTTTCGCTGAACACTGTGATAACCTCGACCACCCTATTGCATTTGAGAACGCAAGCATCCTGGACACGGCACCAAATCTACGTAGGAGGCGGCTCATTGAATCATGGCATATTCAACACACTTCAAACATCATCAATAGGTCACTAGGGACACTTCCTACGTTATATGTGAACGGCCTCCACAATGGGATAACGGATAGGGCACGACGAAGCTAACCCAACAACACCGACAAAGACAAAGTGATGTAACACCTAAAAGATGAAGAGACTGACATCCTTTATTCATCCCCTGAAGAAGAAACAAATAGTTTCGAAATGTTGGGACAATCTTTTTCCAGATCTTTTGCACATTTGGTTGGCAAATTCCTTTTTTCCTGATATTACTTCAAAGTGTGGAACTGCTTTGCTCATGACTGCAAGTTATCAGATTGTTTGGTCACACAGGACGGGAGAGAGACTTCAAAACTAATTTTAATTGCACTCCAGTTCGTAGAAAGAATAACACACAGAAAGACGAGACACAAACACAAACACTCACATACACAGCGACAGGACACGAACACAGGCACGCATACAATCTTTCTGATTTTATCTGTGTCTGTTTGTGTGTCGGTGTTTGTGTCCTGTCCCTGTGTATGTGAGTGTTTGTGTCTTGTCCTTCTGTGTGTTATTCTTTCTACGAACCGCAGCGCCTTTCACCAACATGCTCCCTTTGCTTCTAATTTTAATTGTCAGAAAGAGGCTAACAAAATTTGCACCATGTGTCTACTATGTTAGCCAACTGTTCTGGGCCGAAATAATTTTTGTCATTACATTGTGGTTCAGCCTCATCGACATCATCTGGGCAAAGCCTGACCAGACTGGACGGTGCCCTGGAGGCGCCTTCAGGTTCCATTGAGGAACTCCCGGCAGGAGCTGGGATGACGTTGGGGGCCTCAAATTGTAAGTCCTGCAATTTTTACTGAATGCAACCAAGCACAACACCAGTCAGTGGTCCTTGTGTTAGCCTTTTTAATGTTTTATTTCCTAACACCGGCCTAACCGAAGAAGCTTTGACATGTGTTTTATATATATATATATATATATATATATATATATATATATATATATATATATATATATATATATATCCCTTGACATCAGCCATCTTGATAGTGGCAAAATGAAAGTGTGAAGTATTTATGCTCAAGGTCTGAATATTTGGTGAGTAACAACTGGCCACAAGGTGGTGGGCACTCCAGCTTTTCTCCGGGTATTTTATACTCAGAAACCTGTAATCTAACTTGCGAAAGCAAGGGCCTGCCGGCCTGTTTAACCACTGTTATAGTAGACTTGTTTGCACTGGCCGTCTTAGTTTAAGTGTGCCGGGCTGGCATTTTGAACCTGTCGGCTGCAGTGCTGGGATATGGTTTCCAAATTAAGCTTAGGAGTTTAAGAATGTTGGAACATTCATATCTTTTATTCAGCATGATTCTACTAGGAGCCAAATCTGGGAATTACTAGCTAGTAATTAGCTTGTCAGCTTTGGACCTTATAGCGTAACCATCATTTATCTTTTTTTAATGCTTCAGCTGAATAGTGCATGAATAAGAAGTAATTGCTGTAATGTGTTTCCCACTGGCAGTGACACAGCTACCTTTTTTTTACAGCTAATTTGTATAGTATTTCCTAGTATAGCAGCCGTTGAGTTGTACTGTCAAAATAGCTGAAATAACTTTGCTGACTATGATTGCACCTCTATGTTAGTTATGGTGCAACAAGGTTGCTGATGAGCTTATGAGACCAGCTCTACCCAATGCTATCTCCTTCACTCTGGGGACTTCTCAACATATTCCTTGCATTGGTGGAAAACTAATGTAATTTTTGTCTACCATTTGTTGCATTGACATGATTGATGCACAGCTGATAGATACAACCTGGCTGGTTTATGACAGGGCTTAATGCAGCCCTTTTTCATACAGCCATGTGCTTTCTTTTATGGTTCAAATATGAGATAATAAAGATCAAGGTTAAATATAATTGTTTGTTTTTTTGTATTTGCAGGCTGCTGCTATGCACACTGCAAAATATATATTTTATTTATGAATTTTTTCACACCATTTATACAATGGGCAAAGTTTGTGCAACCACGGTGTGTGAGTTGTGTACTCCAAAACTACCATCTGCAGGCAGCCTCAAATTTAGCACACACATAACAGTGCTTGTCTCTTAGCGAGTGCCGTCATAAACATATATATTTTTAGGTTCACGGCTCCTGATGATTTCTTTTATCAGTCAAGCCATTTTAATCTTTTGCTTTTAAAGAAGGGAGACTGGTGTCCGTTAGTGCTGCACAGCTTACTTCTCCATAGGACCCAGGGCCAGAGCTTGATAATACATTACTCACCCTAATTAATCTTCCATTTCAGGTCCAGAGCAGTCTCCAATAGTTAAACTGGTGCTTGAGCTTCGGCTACAGAATGGGGAGATTTTGCGGCAGTTGGGGGCGATGCAGCAGGACATTAGAAACTTAAGTTTTAATTTATCGCAAACGAAGGCCTCAATGTCTGTTGCACCGCCTTCGCCGGAAATGGCTCCAGAGCCGTCGCGGGCGCCCCTTCCAAAGCTGCCCGCGGCGACTATGGAAGAATTCAGGGAATTGGAAAATGCCCTGAAGGATAAAGCTACAGCCACAGCCCTGGTATGTTGCACTTTCCTCCTTTCATGTGATGACTTTTCCAACATGCACTGCAGTGCTTGTCGCTGGCTCATAATGTCAACTATCATACTCGGCCACTAAACGGGTGCACACTGCATTTGCTTTACTCAATGTTAATAAATGATAGCTTTTCAGTATGAAGAAAAATGAAAACTGGTTGTGTCGTCATAGCCGTGTTTCTGTGTTTGATTTGGTATTTGGTCATGCTTCTACATTTCCGTTGTCCCTTGTTTTTACAGCAGCTGGAGGTGGCTACGTGGGTCAGGGCAACTGACACGGTTGCCGAGGCCTGCCGAAGCCTTCTGGAAAGGGCCCTCAAGAAGGAGGTCCAAATAAAATTTAGCCTCCTGGGCCGGAAAGGCAAGCTACCTTTCCGGGGGACCCTCCTCTGCCGCATTGTGACAGGTATGATTATATTTGCTTAATTGATCAACACATTGATAGATCCTTGTTATTCGAGTTTGCTGAAGTGCATGCAACTGCTTGACTGTTATAGCATGTCACTTTCAAATCAAATACTTCATTTGTGCCTGTGATGTAGCATATAGTACAGGCACTGGGAGGCAGACAAAAACCCAGCAGTTATTGGCTTGACAAGGTTTGCACACTTGTTCACTCAGCAAGCAGCAAGGTGACAAATGTGATACAAAGAAAAATATAAGAGAAAAAGAATTGCACCAATAAATGTTAGTAAACACTATAAACTATTTGGGGATTAGTTTACAGAGCTTGAAACATGATTTGTCTCATCGAAGGGTGGTCACAGGTTCTATTTGTACATTTTGTCATAATAATTGGTTTGGTGATGATGGGAGATGATGCTTTAACATTTGTGTGCAGTGGTTAGTTAAATTATGAGGAACAGTCTATAGGCTACCATCACGTAGGTTACAGGCAGTAGTGATCTCAGTCAGGTGAGGTATGGAGGGTAATCTCAGTGGGTTAAATTTATTATACTTTAATTATGTACCATATGGTGCTAGAGAATATTCACATTGGCTAGTATTTGGAAGAAGGTTCATTGTATGAAAAAGATTTTTAGTCTTGAGTGTTATATTTTACATTTACAATAATACACACAGCCTTTTTCTAAAGTAAGTTCGTTTTCAACAATGCTTCTAATCTGTTATAGCGTAACATATTTAGTTCAAAAGGCCTATTATAGTGCCTGAAAATTCTAGCTATGCCTGAATGCAGCATATACTCTATCTCACAAGTTGCATGCAGTGTAGTGCAACTGTAGCCCTTGTCAGCCAATCAAGAACATAAATGCACCAGTGTACATGTGTTCTTGCACAGCGTATCAGTCTTCGCCTGCATTGTCTGGTCTCTGTAGAAGCCATTACAGGCAATTAAGTTATTCCTTACAGTCTGCCGAGTCATTCCATATGCCTGAATAGTTCATACTCTATAAATACAGCACAATCTCGATGATAGGGATTACCCGGGAACACGAAAAAATATTCATATAATCCTGAATTTGTTTAATCCAAGACAAGCTAACTTGTGTGTTTACTTTGTCTGTGATGTTTGTTTGCACTCTTCTGCCCTTGTAGTTGCTCATAAGCCCCATCCAAAATGCATAAAGCTGCGCAGCGCTTTCTCGGCTCATATTGCTTGCACTTATGGTGCAGCATGGAACATCAAGAGCGTTAAGTGTTTCTACCATCGACGACACAGTTTTGTTGGGCATGTGAGTTAACCTTGGCTCGTTGGGCTGTGAGCCAGGCATGCTGCCGCTTGGCCAGCATAGACTGGAGGTGGAGAGGGGGCCAGCGGCAACTGTGCGTACTCTCTTCCCCTCTAAGACCAGCTGCGCCCACCCACTCGTTTCGCATGCACCGATGGCTCACGTGCTCATATCACCCGGGACGACTTGAGTACTGTTTGTATCATCCTGAATGGCAATATATTCAATATTGCCCGGACCATCTTTAAATTCACGTGACCCTGAAATTCCGGTCAATCGTTATTGTATCATCGACATTTGACTCTGTGCAATCTGAGCCGTACCGGAACTTGTAACCGCATTGGGTACTCCTCCACCTCGTCACACCTTGGAGCTCCACACTGCACACAACTACTGAGACAGACTATAGCTGTGCAGTGCTGATGGGAACCTCTTCTTAGAATAGAAGTGTGGTCATTAGTATAGTAATCAGTAAAAGAGAGGAGCATGTTGCTTCTCTGTACCTAGCTCTTGACCTGACATCTGTATTTTAATTACTACTGCTCTGGATAGAGATTTAACCCTGGTTGGATCCGATTTCCTGATCCTAAGACTATTCTAAGTATCAGCGGCAACCGTTATTCCTTGATGTTTAATGCAGAACGTTTAAAATTTCCACTTTCAGAGACCATCAAGAGTGCGAAGGCTGCCAATGTGCCAGATGTCGAAAAGGCCATTGGCAGGTACCTGGCCGGTGCTGTGGACCGGGAGGGGGGCAGGCGCCAGAGGTTTTGCCACCAAACAGAGGCCATTCAACTGCCAACTGGCGATGTGTGAAGTGCAAAAAAAAATAGCACAGGAAGTTGTTTTCAAAATAAATTATTAGCAAAGAAATTATTTTGTTCATTTGCATGGCAAACTAAAATGCACGCAATATTTTCTGATGGTAAAATTATATATTTTTAGCCTGCATGTTGCAAAGAAAATCTTCAGTGTTATCAATACAAGAGAGATAAAACTATTATCTGTTGTTGCAGTTGTACATTATATTGCCAAATATCGGGAAGAGCCTGGCGGCAAAGGGTTACCAGTGCAAGTGTGGTAAACTGCTCAACCATGGTGCCAGGAGAAAGGCACGCCCAATATTTGTAGTAGCTTGGCGAAAAAGGCCTTCGGACATTTGGCTGCCGTTCCGACAGAGATTGGCTGCCAATTTTAACGTCGTTGGCAAAACCTATCTAGGCTAAAAGGGCAGTGCCGTTATGCCCAATATTGGCTGAAAATGGGCAAGCGGAGTGGTCCAATATTGGCTAAAAATGGGCAAACAGAGTGGTCCAATATTGGCTGAAAAATGGACTAACAGAATGGTCCAATATTAGCTGGAAATAGGCAAACAGAGTGGTCCAATATTGGCTGAAAATGGGCAACAGAATGGTCCAATATTGGCTGAGAATGGGGAAATCGAGTGGTCCAATATTGGCTGAAAATTGGCAAACCGAATGGTCCAATATTGGCTGAAAATTGGCAAACAGAGTAGCCCAATATTGGCAGGCTAGCTGGCCCAATATAGCGCCTGGTAGCGTTTGCCATTATTGACCAATATTGGTGCCAGCGTGAACCGATATAGGACCGTCATTGGACCAATATTGGGGTGCTGCTTGGGTAGTTTCCCTTCTGTCTCTCCCTTTTTGGAATCTCGTGAAGTCCGACTTTCGATTTTTCCTTACGATTGCGGGAAAGGCCCAACAGCTACGAGCAACAAAGGCCCTTAACAAGGTCACCCGCCGCATTCGTACTGTACAATGTGGAGGGGCGCGCACACCGCATGTCGGAGTACTTGGCAGTCCCTCGTGACCACCACCAACATCTGCAACACGCATCCTTACGCTCTGTTGCTGCGCAGCGGCTCCGCAACCAGCCAAGACGACCCACACATACTTTATCGCCTCCGTGCAGACCGCAGTGGAAGAGACCGCCCGTCACGTGTTCCAGGCGGCAGTCTCTCCGAGTACCCTGCCGACATCAGCGAGGCGCTCCAAAATTATTTTTGGTCATTATGTCTTCTTAGCTAAGTGCAACTGTGTAGACCTGCCGCACACCCATAATTCCGGCAGTGAAGTGCTAGATGTCAAAGGTTTGCATTGGCGATGTACTCGCTTACTTATTAGTTGAAACAACGTCTGGTCTGCCACAGGAAAGCGAGAAGTATACGTCTTCTCTGCATTAAACAAAGCTGATCTGGTGTTTTAGTGCTGTTCACAGATATGTGCAAAGTTGTGTTCACTTTCTTGCATATTGAAACCGTGGGAGAACTTTTGAATGTAGGATATGACGATCTGTCTAGTTGTCATGTTCCCGGTTTTTGTTTCAATATGGTCACCATTTGCCTTTGCTTGAGTAAACTAGTCATTGTGTTAATAAAACCTTTCTGAGCAGTATCTATTCTTGGAAGGGACGGAATGGCTCTGATATCCCATGAGCGAGGACCTAGAAGTCATTAGGAGACTATCAAAGAAACAGTATGCAGGCCGTCCGGCTAGTAACCTATATTGGTCTGCTACTTCAAATGGCTGACGTGAAGGCTCACTTCATGAACTTTGGTAGTACCACTGGGCAGAAACCACCCACGCCCTCATAGACTGGTAACCAGCCGGTGATGGTGCCATCACTCAACTTTATGACCGAGAGTGAAGTGCTGCAGAAGGCTCGCCATTGTGAGAACACGCCACCCTGGGGTGATAGGTTCATCTGCCACCACTGATAGGCCGTCGACCCCAGTTATCGTTTCCTCACGGCGGCATTTAATTAATGTCTGACAAAAGTAAAGGACCGTTCCAGAACCGTGGCAGAAGTTTCACGCAATACTCGTCTCCCCAAAGGGAAACCCAAGTGACATCGCCGTTCGCTCTCATTCTTGCAAATGACCGGCGGCAAGCTCCAATTGGGGATGCTGGCAGAATGTCCAGATCTAGTTGCTGGAGCACAAGATCTCGAGCAGGGTGCAGACGGGTTTCGCATTCAAGAGAAGACGTTCTTCTTTTTATGTCGAGACACAACGTTGTTTTCAGCGGCAACATGTTGATGAAATCGTGCGACTAATGAGTGACCAGGCATCCGCCATGCACACTGGCTACTAATATGATTTTACTCCTTTTGCTTTTAGCTGGTTCACAAGGCGGCGTACAATAAATCCCAGAGGAAGAAGCAGAAAACACTAGACAGTGCTGTTGCTGTATTCAAGCAGCAACACCAACCTAAGAAGAAGCTGGCCCCTCGGACGTTTTCCAGAGGGACTTCAATAGACTTCTTGCCGAAATGATCGCCGTCAACGGCCTTCCTTTGACATTCACAAAGGGACTGGGATTCAACCGTCTTATGGAATCCTCGAAGCCTTAGGTTAACGTTGTGTCCCCCGGACCATAAATCGCCTTCTTGAGGATCTCAGGAAAAGTGTGCCCCACCTTCGTTGGCAATTGATTTTGCGCAGTGCACAAAAGAGATCACTGCACTTCATTGCCGACTTATGGTCCAGTAGGACAAGAGATTCCATACTCGGGATCAAAGAGCAGTTTGATTGAAAGTGGGAGTTACAAACGTACGCACTAGCTTTTAAGATTTTCCCGGGGTCTCAGACCGGGGATCACATTTGGGAGGCACTCAATGAGCAGGAGCTCATTGAGTGCGGCATCCAGCTGGAACAGATAGGGTGCATTGTTGCGGACAACGCTTCCAACATGGGCAAAGCGTTTAACAGGTCCATCACTATGGAAGAGAAATGGCACATAAATGCTGTGGACCCAGAGATCTCCGAAGAGGAAGAAGCTGGCCTGCAAGACTGCTCCACCGTGGAGCCAGATCTGCCGACTGCACTCAACCCATGCTGCAGAGCGTGCTGCGCACACTCTGCAGCTGGCGATAAACGGCGCTATCCATGATGAACAAGCCTCAAAGGAGCTGCTGGACATGGTCAACCGGGTCATCAACATGTCCAGACGATCTCTCTTGTGAACAGGGCAATTGAAAGAACGCTGCAACAAAGATCCAGTCCCATCTACAGGGACGCGATGGAATTCCATCTTGGCGGCATTGAAGCGCCTTACACATGTATGCAAGTTCATGTTCATTTTATGAGCAGTCATTTGGAGGAGATTATTTACGTTGTCTCTTATATTCACTAAACGGATACATCAAATGTGCTCGGAAACAGCTGTTGATCATTTTTAACAGTCCCACAGGTATAAACAGAGAGTGCATATGTAGCATGCATACCCATAAACAAACGTTACAATACTTTACGTAGAAAATGTACCACATATTAAAATAAATGCTTTAAATTTAGACCTCCGTCAATTCACGCACATAGCCTCTGGCCGCAGGACCACCACAATTTATTTGACAGGACTATATATTGTTGAGGTCCTGGTTTGAAGTTGCTGACACAAAAAGGCGCCACAATCCTATTTCCCAAAAACTGCGAACTCATGAAGGGCTAGCGGCCGTGAAGTCGAATTTAGTAAGAATAAACCTGAATGACTTCGTGAATGATGCGGAATTTATGATGTGATGGTGAATTCCAGTGAATTCGTGTCGACCGTGATGGTGAGTGACTTAGTGATGGTGAATTCGGACGAATTCGTGAAGTGATGGTGAATTCAGAATTCATGATGTAATGGTGAATACCAATGAATCCACGGTGGTGAATTCGGATGACTTCGTGGTGAAGGTGAATGACTTCGTGAATTGGTATGTGATGGTGGATGACTCCGTGAATTCGGAGGCGGCGGTGATGTAATGGGGATGAATTCTCGGCGCGGTTGGACGCCGTGATGTGAAGGGGATGAATTCTCGGCGGAGTTTGAAAGCCGTGATGTGAAGGGGATGAGGTTTTGGCACAGTTGAACGCCAGGATGAGAAGGGCGGTGACCTTGGGAGGTCGGAATACCTTGTGATGTGAATGCGAATGAATTTGGAGACGTGATTTTGTTCGTGATGTGATGGTGTATTAAGGGTTCTAAAGGGCCGACCTATGTCTGCACAGTCCCAATGCCGGCCTTTCCACCACCAATGACGACACATTCCAGGAGGATACCGGTTATGACAGTCGGCGACCAGCAGCCTGCCCAGCTGGACCGCCGTGGGAGCAAGTGAATCACCTTTCAAGGTGAAATGGGACAAAGTGGCGCACACTTTTGGTTTCTTCCCTCCCTTCGACCCTTCGTCATTAAATTTTTTTCCTGGAGTCCATCTGTGCCTTACCCCTGCCCCCCCCCCCCCGCCCCCCAGCTCCCCGTCTTTGACGCAGTGAGTTCCAAGCTTTGCGCCTGCATCATAGAGCCGACAAGCCACAACTCCTACCTGTTCCCAATCCAGGTGGTCCCCAAGTCTCCGAAAGCCTCGCGGCTTGTTTTGGACTGTTGCCACTTGACGCTGAAGGCCCGTTCACACTCTTGCGACCTCTTAAACCTGGGTTCCTTAAAACTTCTTAAACCAGAGAACACACTGGCGCCATCTATTGGGAAGCAGTGTAAACTCGGCGGTCCGGCATATCTTTTTTTTATTTCTCGCGCATTATCCTTTCTTTCTTGGCTCGAAACACTTTTGTCAATGTTATAAACAAGTCTTTCTATGGGTATTACGCACATTTGACCTCGGAAATCCCGCAAAACCTTCGCTCTTGTGAAATGCAGTTCCTGGGTCACCGCATAGATGGCGCCACAATGCCAGTGTGTTCCCTCATTCTAAAAACATTTAAGAAGTTTTAAGAGATCTCGTCTCTCTCAGTCGTACTCGGTCGCAAGAGTGTGAACGGGCCTTGACCCTCTTGAGTCCGAAGTTTA